CTCTGGTAGTAGTTGGAGTGGGCACCTGCTTTTTGCAAACTCAGCCCCACTTCCGTGAGAGAGCACTCCAGTCGACAGAAGCACAGCAACTGGCCAGATGAGATGGAGTTCTAAGGTCCAATTTGTTTTATTAGTGCACGTCTGCAGCACATACTGTTTAGACGCCTTGTGCGGAGTTGATATATGCATATAATACATCTTCATTCCCTTTTTCAACCTCTTTCCTTCCCCTACCTCCCTTCCTATCTTTTGGACCCCTTTCCTTCTATAAAAGATCCATTTCCCTGTTTCCTATTATCTATCTTTTATTTCACTCTTTATTTATATTTTGGGCTTCTCATATAAGGGAAACCATGCGACATTTAAGCTCGTGTGTCTGATTTATTTCACACAGCATTATGACCTCAAGGTGCATGTTTTCCTGTAAATGACAGAGCAGTACAACTCCAAATGGCAAGTACGTGTATACCTAAAGAGAAAGCAAGCAGGCGTCTGGAGCTGTTGTACACTGCTCTGACCCAGAAAAGGATAAACTGGAGTGGCTGTCAAGTCCGTGGATAAGAGAGCCAAAGCCAGGACTGAGCGAGGCCGCGCCACGCCAGGCGCGTGGACCACGTCTGGGGTCCACAGACGCCGGGTCCGAGTCCCATGGCCTCCTCCTCGCGTCCACACGCACCTTGCCGTTGAGCTCCTCCCTGTGCGCAGCGGAGCCGTCCGTGGAGCCCAGCGCAGTAGCGTCCTCAGGGCGCGCCCCACGGACCGGCATCTCCACACGGCGCAGGAGCAGATCGGAGCCCAGCGGCATCGCGTCGCAGACACAGCGCATGCGCGCTCCCTCAGACTCCACCCCCTTCTTCTTCCCAAGAGTCCTAGCGCTCGGCGAACCTGCGCCAGTGCCTGAGCGCGCTTGGAGTATTTCTGCGCATGCGCTGCTGCTGCTTAGGTCGCGAAAGTACAGTTGGTCCACTCCGAGAGCATTCCGCGTCGCCTCCTAGCGGATCGGAGTTCGGAACGCTTTTGTGACCTCTTCGCTCCTTCCCAGTATACTAAAGTACAAGGTTCCTTGCGCCTAGCGCAGTAGAAATAACCTCTGCAAGCTTTTTGTTTAGGCAGAAATATGAAGCTGAGGCACACACCTAAGACGTACAGTGTTGGCAACAGACCTGTGCAGACTTAGTAAAGTTTTGTCACTCTTCTGGTTACAGTTGCTAGTTAAAATAGTTTTGTGTTAATTTAAATATGAATTTCAGTTGAATCCCACCCTCTACCCCCCTTTCGTTACTGGGGATTGAACTCAAGGCTTTGGCACAGAGCTCTTTATTATCCGCAGCTCTTTATTTTTTGACAGAGTCTCGATAAATTGCCCAAACTGGGTTTGAATGTGTGATCCTCCCACCTCAGCCTCACAGAGTGTTGGGATTACAGGTGTGTCCCACCATGCCCGTCTCCATACAATACTGTCAATATCTCATTCTGTGAAGAAGAAAAAAAAGTCTAAAGCGTGGAAATAGGCAAATGAGATTACTGGATGTTTTTTCAGTGCTGTCCTGGGGTTGATTTTCTGTTGACTGGTTTACAACCCAGGCCAAGATGGAGTTAATGATTTAGAGGAAACAGGGCAGAGGCAGAGACTAGCTGGTAGGTTTCTTCCGGGGAGAGATGCAAATAATTAATATTTGGTGGGCCAGATAACCCTAGAGGTGATGACTTATAGTTGTGTAAGTTATCAATCAATTGGGTCTAAAACTATGTAATCTTACATTTATTAATATATTGCCTGGCTTTCCTGCCTTCCTCCCTTCTTCTTTTCTTCCTTTTTTCTCCTTGTCCCCTTTTCTTCCTTCTTCCCTCCCCTCCATCCCTCTCTCCCTTCTCCCCGCCTTCATTCTTTTTATTAGCCCTCTTTCACCCCCAGTGATGGGAAGGAACCCGGGCCATGTACATAATAGGTAAGGGCTTTACCACTTAGTCACACTCTCGGATACCCCCACCCACCCCAACTTTTCAAATGCCTTTGGAATTTGTTTTATATCTTACTGGCTTATTTATTAATTTATGAACTGAATAAAACTTTGGCATGTGTTCACTTTGTATCTGCCTGAGTAACACACTGTAATACTGGAAACCTTGTTTCATGGAGATGCTGAATGGGACTTATGTGATGAAGTCTGTGTATGGCTTAAGAGATGTATTTTATGAGTTAAGTCCAGGCAAATCGTTTGTTGTCTTTGAGAGTAAATCCCAAATGGTTATAGAACTAAGTTTACTTTTTATTTTTTCCTTTTTAAATATTTGTTTGATTTATCCATTCCTGATAGATAACTCCACACTGATAGCGGCAATGGTGGAGAAATTGGCTTTATGATCTGACCACTGGTGATATTTGTTGGATGGCAGACATCCAGTCTCTTTTGTAGGAGAAGACAGAGAATGCGATTTGTTAGTCTTTTTGTCTTATGTGAGCTCAAATTAGATTTGTACCTCCTAGGAAGGAAAACAGTTTTTTGAGATCTGGACTTGTGAGTTTTTATGTTTCTGTGTTTACTTTCAACTTGAAGTTGAAGTTTCAAAACCGAAGCAATAATTTCTCTGTGTCTGTTTGTCAGCAGCCTGTATGAACAGGCTTCCCAGTGTCTAGCATCCATTTTGGTCCTTATTTATGCTTTTAGTTTCTCACACAAGAAAGACAATGCAATATTCAAATACGTGTGTCTGATTTATTTCACTTAAAAGCATGTGTCCAGGTGCATTCATTGGGAAGTAGGAAGAAAATGTTCAAATGGGAAGGGGAACAAGGGAGGGGGGAGGAGGAAGGGAAGGAAGAGAAAAGGACAAAAAGAGTAGAAGGGGAAAATGGAAACCAAGGCTTTTGTAAATAAGGAAGGGAAGAAGAGTTGAACAGAGAGGAGGGGAATAGAGAAAAAAGAATCAAGGTATATTTTGTATAGGTACAAATTCCCTATGATGAATGTGATCATTATGTGTATCAAAAGTATACCAATAAAATTAATTTAAAAATGCAAAATGGGCTTTCTAGCTCACTGTGGGAATGTAAAATATTTTCCTATTTTTGGAGGGTATAAATAAATTCCATTATAATGTCCTTTAAGTTGAGGGGCTTCTGTTCTGACTTGTTTTATAGGAATAAATAAGCACTTCAGTGAATTCCTAATTTTTAATTTTTTTTTATTAATACATGTTTGTAGCACATAATGATTACATTCATTGTGGGGAGTTGGCACATGCACATGGCACATCTTAATTCTCTTTTTAATCTCCTTCCCTTTCCCTCCCTCCATCTCCTATTTTCTTTGGTACGTATTTGTAGAACATAACGATCACATTCTTTGTAAGGACTTGCTACACGTTCACAACACTTCACAATTCCATTTTTTATATCCCACTTCCTTCTCCTGCCTCCCTCCATCTCTTCATTCCTTTCCCATGTGCTAAAGATCTATTTCCTATTTTCTTTTATTTTTCTCTTTATTTATATTTTTAGCTTCTCATATAAGAGTCTAAACCATGTGATATTTAAGGTTGTGTGTCTCATTTATTTGACTTAACATTATAGTTTTAAAGTGCATCCATTTTCCTACAAATGACTCAAGTTTATCCTTCTTTAAGACAAAGTAGTACCTCACTGTGTATAAATACATTTTCTTTATCATTCATCTGTTGTTAGACATATAGGCCATTTCCAAGATATAGCTATTGTGAATTGTGATGCTATAAACATGGGTATGCATATATCACTGTAATATCATGTCTTTAACTCTTTTAGGAAAATACCTAGAAGGGAAATGGCTGGGTCAAATGGAATTTCTAGTTTTAGTTTTTTGAGGAATTTCCATACTATTTCCCATAGTGGTTATAGTAGTTTACATTCCCACCAATAATGAAGAAGGGTTACTTTTTCCCCACAGCCTTGCCAGTATTTGTCATCATTTGATTTTTTTTTTTTTTGGTACTGGGGAACGAACTCGGGACCTTGCGCTTGCGAGGCAGGCGGCGGAACCACTGAGCTAAATCCCTGGCCCCCATCATTTGATTTCTTGATGATAATCATTCTTTCTGGAGTGAGGTGGAATTTCAATATTATTTTAATTTGCATTTCTTGAATAGCCAGTGATGTTGAACATTTTTTCATGTATTTATTTGTCATTTGTACATTCTCTTCTGAGAAGAGGAAGGTTTATTAATTTCACTTGCCCATTT